TTGTGCACTGATGGCGTTTGTTGCCATCACCTGACGGGCCTGAAATAAAGACAGCACCTTCGGTTTTGCCTAGTTATGCTGTTAGCTCAGTGAGTTTTAAAACACGTAAACTTCCTGATTATGTTTTGGAGAGAATAATTAAAGGTTTTGAAAATATACCCACTTAAATAGTCTTTAATCATGGAATTGAGCACTGAAAGTGGGGAAAAAACTAATTGTCAGAGCAATTTTAGGTCTCCTCCTTTGCCTGCACGTGCTGTAACAGCATTTGGGGATGGGGAAGCACTGGAATGATCAGTGCACAATTTCCCTGAGGACCTGGCTGGACAGCATAACAGGATGCTGTTAGGCAGCTTCCCGTTTGTGGAGCATCACCTGAAGTTTTTAGAGCATCCCACACAGATGCATTTCTCTAGATTTCTGCCAGGTTTAGGTCTCACTTGCTAAGCAGGCAGGTATTCTGAACATGCACAGTCACTCCCAAAAAATCCTTTCAAAAGTGTCTCCAGCTGCTGTTGTCTCTGCACTCAGAGAAGGTAATTTCCATGTTGTGGCAATGGGATGTGAAGTGCCCCACAGGGAGGAGTACTTTGCAGGGAGATAGTCTTGGTTTCAATTTTGGTGTAAGAACAGCATGTGGAACTATTTTCATACCATTTTTTTGCACTTTCATTTGTGCATTCACTAACCACATTTATAACTGAGCAATATGACCATAGAAAGATTTCCCCAATGGATAATTTCCGCTTCTCTGCTGTAGGATGCCTACCAGTTCCTAATAGTAAACTCAGCTTCTTGTCTTGGATTCTTTGGACTGATGGCAACATTTTTTAAAACTACTTGCTGACAACAGCGTGAGGTCAGCTGGAGACTTCTTGGCTTCAGGCTGGAATGAAGAAGTAAAACAAAAGCATCTCAGTGAAACCTTTTGTAGATGAATTTCAGAATAAATTCTTCTGTAGTTCTGGGGGAAAAAAATCTCCCTTTGATTGTTTCACTTGCAATGATTGCAGTGTTGAACTTGTTCTCATAGGGTGCAAGGATGTTCAGATGTTATTTGTTGTTTGCTTTCCAGTTTCCTGGCCCTCCACCAGGCTGGCTTCCTACTTCTTGCAAAAGTTTGGCTCCCAGGTTCACGTGCAGGCTGTTGCTGCAGGGTTTGTAAGGCTGCCTTTAATTCTACACCATTAGAAGGGTTTGTCTTCCTTCATCTGCCTTTCCAGGTTATCTGATCACCACGGTCAGGTGTGCAGTCTGGTTTTGGTACGGGATCAGGGGAGTAACCTGTACCAGTAACCTGCTCTAGTTGTGCTCCAAACCAAGCCCAGAAAAGCAGGTTTGTATCCGCAGCTCGTGATGCTGGAGCTGCGTGACTCCCAGCATGAGGCAAGGCACTGACTGCTTTTTGTTAGATTATGGCATAAAGCAGAACCTGTCAGACTAGGGAATGGAAAAAGCAAGTTGCTCCAACCGTTGGGTAACAGGGATCAAAGATGCTCCTCAGCAAGCAATGCTGAGGTCTGCTCGGAGGGGCCTGCAGAGTGCAATTAAACAGAATAATTTGAGTACCTTAATAGCGAATTTCTGAGTATTTTAATAGTGTTTTCAGTAAGGTCATGTCTAATACAATCGATCCTCTCTTGCTACAGCACGGTGACCTCCAGGGGCTCCACAATGTCACCAAGGACTCAGTGACAAATTCTCACCCCGGCGTTGTGTGACGGGGGCAAAGACGTTCCCCTGGGAGCACTCCTTGAGGGACGCTGGCTGCGGGTGTCCCCACGAAGAGGATTTCTAAGCAAGCATCCCTTAACCTGCACGGAGGTAGCTGAATGCAGAGCACTTTCACATCCGGGAAAGCACATGTAGATGAGCGAGAAATTGTTTCCCGTCCTTGATTGCGTAAGGGATTTCTCTGCTATCTTATCTGTCTCCGGAAAGAATTTGGAAAGAATTTAGGTCCGGGCATTTGAAGCTGAGGCTTCACCATGGTCAGGCTCGTTGAGCTGGCGTGCTGACAAGCAGAAAATGTGCTGCATGATTTATGGCACGCTGGCTCAAAGCCTATTTGAGCCGTGGTGCTGTGTTACTCCTGGCTCCAGAGCGGAGCCAAAATCTGCAAGTGCAAGGTTTTCTTGAGAGCAAACTGTGGGCAGCACCTTGAGCCTCTGCTGGTGGTGTCTGCCCTCTTTGTCTACCTTTCAATGAAATAATGTGATAAAAATGGTATAAATCCTTTTTGATGCATTGCTGGGTTTTCAGACTTGCTACAATTTTATTAACTGTGCAGTCATTCCGGGTAAGCAGTCAGTTCTGTTTGCCATGTAAAGGGAATTACTGCATGAGAAGTGTTTGTGCATGTACACCGATGCACACAAGGTGACTTGATCTATAGGAAGGCTTAGAAAACCAGTCCTGCCTTGTGACAGCCTGCTTTGCTGGAGTTTTCAGGTTTTTTCATTGCACTTGGCCCCTTCCTTGAAACAGCAGCCCACTGGCAGTTGTGAGGAGCAGCTGCTTTAGGCTTTGGCAGCTTGCTGGAGCAGTGTTCAGGTAGGAGCGCATCTGCCTCGAGGAAACGTGGTGCTGGTGACCAAACGCAGACCTGCCTGCTTGTTTCTGAATACAGACCTCACAGGCTGATGGTGCAGCATTTCCCAGCCCTCCCGCCTGCCTAGCGTGGGCACAGGGGCCCAATGTATCCAAAAATATAAATAAGTGAAAAAATTGGCCAAGGGGCTTGCTGATCCCTCACTATTGCCCACCAGAGGTGGCACTGTGGCCTCAAGACTCCACCTCCCAGCCAGGTAAGTGAAAATTTCCAAAATAAACACACTGCCACCACCACCACAAGCCTGCTATTGCCCTCAGGAAAGAAAGACTTGGTTGTTTTGCCTTTTCTTTTGAGCTCCAGAAGGTGTTTTTTCCCCAGTGATGTTTTTTCTTCCCTCCCATGCCATTCTCCCTTTCGAAGACGTTGGGCCCAGGTGGCGCTTTGCTGCCGCGCCTCACCCCCAGCTATAAATAGGGCTTTCTAACCACGGCTAAGTGGTTCCAGGCGGGCTGCAAATAGGAAACTATTTGGGCAAGAATCAAACAAATGCGTCAATGTCAAAACATTTACTTGTATTGTTTGAATTATAAACTCTGCTTTCAAGTTGTTATTGCTGGGGTGTGAGCGGGACACTAAAACACGCGGTGTTCGTGGCTCTCGTTGGAAGAACAAACGCTGGTCTGTTAAAGACTCCTTCCTTCCTTCCTTTCTCCCTTCCTTCCCTACATTTCCTGGATCCGAGCTCTCAGGCAAGTAAAAACCAACAAAAAGGTTGTAAAACTTAAAAAGGAGGAGACTTGGGCTTTACAAACATTTATTTATTCTTTGATATTTGTCTGTCAAAGCACGTGGGGTTAAAGGGGAGCAACTTTATCTTCTGGAAGTAATGGTTGGCAGCCCAGGAGCTTGAGAAGTTTGTCGTGCTTTTCCCTTAACTTTCTGCAGTGTTTTTGGTAGCACCTCGGGGCTGCCATGGTAAGATCCCCCTGCTGCACTCCTCTGCCTGCATTTCCCAGCGGCCATGCTCCCGACGTGGGAGCGGGGACGTTCAATGGGATGCGCTGGGCACACAGTGCCCGGTGCCTGGGCTTGAACGCACCAGAAAAATCACGTTGCAAATAAAAATGAAACCTAATCAGGCGCACTAAATCCATTTAGGAAGGCAGGAAATGTTCCCTAGTAATGAAGTCTGTCTGGGTCGTGAAGCTTTAAGCCCCTGGTGATTCTCTACCCCTGCGCTGCTTTGTACAGTGGAAATAGAGGTGCAGTGACAGCCGCTTCCTAATAGAGGTTTAAATATGAAAAATAATCCCCCTGCTGCTGCCTACCAGCTTGTACAAATGCTGCTTTCCTTCGGGTGTCATTCCGGGTCCTGGGCATCAGTACAAGGGGAATGGAGCTTTGTTAGTCAGTCTGAGCAACTCCTCACACACCTGAGGCCATCTGAAGGGGACCACGGGGCACTCAGAGAGGAACAGGGACTTGGGGTTGGTGCATGAGTGTTACTGAGGGAGCTTCTGCCAAAGTTATGGGAAAAATAAATACAGCAGGGGTGTTTGGTGTGACCTCCCGGGCACTCTGAGGGCAGTGACTTGCACAGGAAGGTGCAGGGGGTGATGCTGGAGCACTGCGCTGGTCACTGTCAGGAATTAGTGCCCTGTGCGTCTGTAACAGCTGGGGGCTGTGAGGCCGACGTGTCTTCACTAACTGCCACAACCTCCAAAATGGATTTTGTCTTCATTTTGCTGGTTGCAAGCAGCAGGAGGTAGTTGTGACCCAGTGGGCAACCTGCAGGCTGCTAGGTAAGGGCTGGCCCTACAAACAAAACCGATCTTTAGGATCCCTCGAAGCCTGGGTCACAGCCAAGCATCCAGGGGAGATGTCAGGGATGCAGCAGCAGCTCTTTGAGCAAGGCATTGCCTCGTGGGAGAGGTCACTGTGCAGGGCAAGAGAAAGCCAAAACTCTGGTCTGGGGGGAAAAATTGAAAATAAAAAAAACTTAGCCAAAGAGAAGGGCGTTCCCTTGGAAAGGGTTTGGCTCCATCCCATCTGAGGACCCTCCTTACCTCAGGGGAAAGGTATTTATAGCTGGGGAGGCGCCTCCTAAGGAAATGCTCAGCCCTACGTGAGGGAAGGAGTTCTTTGAAAGCGAGACCCTGGGCAGGTGAAGGTCGGGGCAGAAGCAGTTAAAGGATTAAACGGGACAGGCCCTTGGTGAGGGCCAAGGCCAAAGCTGTTGGTTTTGGTTCTGGCCCATTCCCTGGTTGAAACAAGACAGGACCAGCTCTGCTTTGCACCTCCCCAGCTACAAGAAAAGTTCCTACATCTCATCGTGAAAATCCCATAGTGAGTTTCCTACGAGCCATTCAGAAATGGAGCATTCCTCCAGGAGCGATGCAGGGCACGGGGTGACAAAGAACGACATTCCACTTCCCAGCAGCCATCGTCTCTTTGGTTTTATCCCACTTTAATAGAAGATTAATCAGCTTTGTGCAAGACAGGTGCTTCTAACAGAGAAAAATGAAGTCACAGCAGCATAGACACAGAACGAGACACACGCAGCAGAGCGAGGGTTACACACAGGCTGCTAGCAGCCGCATGGAAGCAGTACATGGCTTTACTTACAGCTTTAGGCACAGTGAAGAACTTGCCAACAGGACAGTTGCTATTACAAAGGACTACAATAAATACCTCGTCCGAGTCCTCCCTGGGCAAAACTGGTTTAATTTAAGAAGCTCCAAGTCTCTCTTCCCAGCAGCTGAGAACAGCGCCCTACACGAAGAGTGAAAGAACAGGCTCCAGCTAATTCAGCGTACTGCAACTTTATACTTTGGATATTACACTTTTTATTATTTATTAGGGTTACATTAGAGAGTTAGCAAATGGGGCTGAATTTCAGCGAAACGATGTGTGGCAGGTGGCCCCCTCCTCGCTTCCCGTGGCCGCTCAGCTGTCAGCAACTGGTGAAGGGCTGGCAGGAAGCACTTTGCTGTGAAGGCTGCTCTGTGTGCACGTCCCATTTCTAACATAAGATTTTCTTTAACAGGATTTAAAAGCACAGAGGCCACGAAACATTTCGGTTTCCTCAGCAAGTTAATAAATCATGCTGCATTGGCACCACATCACCCACATGCGGGGCTCCACGGCAGGTGCTGCGCTGTATTTATGTGCTTGGGTTTCCTTCTGATTTAGAACTACAGCCTCAACATAAGGCTGTGATTTACTTTCAGCGTCCAGGCAGCTTTTGTTGTTCCAGGAGAGCTTCTCACACTCGATTATGCACGCTGAAGTGCTCTGCCAGACTGAGGCACGGCCGCATTTTTAATTACTGGTTGCTTGTGTGTAGTGTGCCTGGCACAGGGAGGAACATGATCCCAGTAAAAAGGCTGAAAAAGAATAACTCCGTAACAGAACCCAGAGACCATAACACAATTAAAAATTTAAAGCAGGAAGCAGATAATTTAAAAACAAAAACAAAAAAAAAAAATACCCTTTAACTTATGAGGCAGGTTAATAGCTATGAAAAGATTTTTTTCCTTCACGCCGGCTTCGTTTACAAGTACAGCTCAGCAAGTTTGAAATACTTTATCACAAGGAATACAAATGTGTTTATCACAGTTATGTCAGAGCTCCTCTCTGGAGGGTGGGGCAGTTTCTATTATCGCCACTCCCCTCCTCCCCGCCAAGGTTTAGTACTCAGCTCCTTAGGGAAACGAGGGGGTTGCTCGAGGCTTTAGAAAGTGCAGAGAATAAAGGAAATTTTCTCTTTAGAAAAAAAGTCTGAGAACTCTTAAATGTGCAGGGGTAACAACGAGGAATGGGGAGGGGCTGGGTTTTGGCATTTTGGTTTAAGATGGCTGGTTTTGATGGTGGCAGGTGTACAAAAAGGGAGGGAGCTTTACAACAGAGCAGCAGCTTTGCCATAAACACAAAAACATCATCCCAAGACAGACATTTGGGGATTGTCATGAAAAGCGTGGCTGTTAACTAAGGCAGAATACAGCGCCAGGGAGCCTTCAGGAAGGACGTGCCCTTACACACTGCTCTTGCCTGCAACTCCACTTCGCCTGCAAGACTTTTGGCTGTAGCTTCTGTTCTGTATTGGCAGGGTGGGATTGAATAAGGCTCTGAGCAGAGGAGGATGAAGTCTGTCGAAGCAGGAGTTAGAAGTAACAGAACCTGGACCCGGCCAGTGTTGCACAGCGATTGTTCAAGGAGTAACAGCTTTTTCACAGGAACACTATGGTAAGAGGCAAGACTTTTGAGTAAGGTTCTCACATTTGGTACAAAGCGGGCTTGTTCCTATGGCTTCTCTGCTCCACCACCCCCTGGTACAGAACAGCGGGTTTCAGATTTTCAGGAGACTTTTTGGCTGTTGGTACAGAAACCAGCACGCCGTGCACACCCTTGAGGCCCATGCGGTGCCTCTCACTGGATGTGGAGCTTCCTAGGAGAAAGGTCAGAACCCAAACCAACCCTGTGCAGGCTGAAGTGGAGTGGGCACAGAGCAAGGAAGCAGCAGCCTTCACCACGGGTGAGGGAATAAAGCAAAGCCGGATAATACAGACAACAAAACAACACAGAAGTATGTCACCCAGGTCAGAAACATCAGTTCTGACCCATCTCGAGCCCCCCTGGACAGACAGACACGTGTGCAAAACAGAGCTCTCGGTTTTGGCTTTAGAAAAAGAGCAAAAAGGAGGCTCCTCCATTCAGTGTGCCCCGTACAACACTGCACTGGGCACTTCCTTACCGCAGTGCCCACTGCTGCAGGCCAGCACGACTGAAATACATCTCTCAGTCACAAGGAGTAACAGATGAGCATCTCTGCAGGACAGCGGGCTGAAACCCACCCCTGTAGGCGGCGTTTCGTGCTGCCAGTCTCTGAGCTAAACGCCAGCAGTCAGTCCAGTCCCAGTACCTCCTGAGCTCACCCGAAGCTGAGAACTTCCCCTTTCTTCTTCCCATCCGTCTGATCCCAAGCCTGTTGGGATTGCTCTAGCGCAAAGCCAAGCTTGGATTCCCTTCTGATGCCACAATGTCCCCCTCCCTGTTACGCTGTCTCTTTCAGCAGTCCCAGTTTGCGGAGTGCCTCTCTCCTGGCTTCTTCTGTTGAGCCACGTCCAGCGAACTTGACGGTGATCCCTTGCGAGCGAAATCCCGAGGGTCTGGGCAGCGAACCCGACCTCCTCCTCATATCCAGGCTGAGGTTAGGGGGCTTGTAATCATTAAAGCCCTTTGCTGCGTTCTGCTGAGTGGCCTTGTTAGCAGCAAGAGCTCCCTCTGGTTTGATTGTCACAGTTTTGCCCAGAGGATGGAAAGGGCTGGGCTCGCTTTTTAAGACCTCGTGGATGTTTTGGTACCCGTTGGGAACGGCGTCTGCCTGCTTGGGCTGCGCATCAAGACGCTGAGCGCTCGGGGCATGATCCACTTGGTCCTGAGCTGGCTTTCCCTTAACGAGACCCAGTTTTGTCAGGGCCTCATAGCGCGCTTGCTCGGAGGAGAGATCCCGTAAGGAAGAGCTCCTGTTGCGCGACAAGAAGTCGTTCTTCTGCAGCTTCTCCTCCAGCTCGGCTGCCAGAAAGGCTCCGCCGTTGATGTTGGCCAGCACCTGAGCTCTCCGCTCCTGCACGTTAACGGCTGCCTTGGAGATGGTCTCGTTGAATTCCTTGCCACTGACGTTGGTTATGTTGATGTTGCTGGGAAAGCGGTGCAGTTTGGGGGCGGGTGCAGGGGGGTGCTTTGGAGCTGCAAAACAATCACCGTTGGCTACGGGGGTCTTCTTCCTGTCCAAGCTCCCTTCCTTGAGGGCACCGGGGAAGCGCACCCTGCTCTCCGCTTGCTGCTCGGACATCTTCTGGGCCATGATGAGCGGGGTAGGGATCGAGCGAAGCAATTTTGGATGCTGCACGGCAGGAGGGGGTGGAGGAGGAAGAGGAGTCTCACAGCTCAGCGGCTGCGACACCGAGGGATGCGAGGGAAGGTCAGCAGGTGCAGCTGGCTTAGGGCTCTCCGCTCGCCAGGTAGCATCCAACACTAAGAAGAAAAACCAACAATAACCTTGTTAAGTCTTTGCACAGAGCACAATACAAGGCTTTCTCTCACCTAGGATTAGCAAGCATCAGTATTACCCTCCCCAGAACTTTCTAGCCTTGACTCAGCCCACTTTGCCCATAACTAACAATGAGCAACAGCATCTTGAGGGTGTGCTCTCGTTCAAAGCACCATATTTACTGTTCATTCACTAGTTAGTAGCCCCCTTTCTGCCATTCATAATCTGTATGTTTGCTTTTCTATGTTTAAAGGCTTCTTCTCTAGCTTTTGCACATTCTTGTTTTTGGTTAGAACAGACAGGAGAGGACACGTCACATCACAACCTATGTACTAACGATAAATCTGTTCTCCAGAAGTAGGGAGAGCAAACCATGGGATGAAGAAATCATTCTGTATGCTGTATTGTCCCAACTTTTTGTTAGAAGCATGTGCCTTGGTCCCACCAAGTGACACTATAACCAACTTGCTATCTTAAAACTCTTAGAGAGCCTCAAGAGGTCTCAGAGAACCAGAATGTGAACACGCTGCTCTGCACCAGTCTCCCTTGCCGTGATGACTCTGTTATACTCAGTTCTGTTACGATTTAATTACAGTAAGGGACTGAGACAGCAGTCCAACAACTTAATCATGAGAAAAAAGAAAAAAAAACAAAAACAAAAAAAAAAACACTTTAGGAACAGCAATTTCAGCAACCCCTCAATTCCACATCAAGTTACAATCATGATCCTCACGGCTCCTGATGTGTAACAGATTGATCTTGGGGTAGCAAGGCAGGCACAGAATTTCTTTAACTGTCATGGCTGAGTCAAAAGGAAAACCACACTTCCAAGAAATCCTGCTACCTGGTTCTGCATCTTTGCTAGGAGGGCCTTCGTGGTCGCTGCTCTCGGGCGTTGACTGAACTAAGTCAATGATATCCTCGGTTTCCGAATGGCTGGACACGTTCTCTTCCGTTGACCTTGAAGACTGACAGTGGATGCCACTGTCATGTAGGACTGGTTCCTCCAAGTCGTCTTCTAAGGCATCTATAGTTTCCTCGAAGAACATGAGAACGTCCTGCTCTTCGTGGGTTAAGTACTTCATACTCTCATCATCCTACGTGGGGGAAAAAAGCCACAAAGATTAATGCTCTACAGATCAGTACGGAGAAGTACACCGACAGCAAACACAGCACCCTCTTTTTAGAGACAGAAAGAAGCACGATGTAGCTGGCAGCAGTCACATCAGAAGCATCTCCTTGCTGTTTCGTACCTTCCCAAAGAGGCACTCATTTACTACAAAACAATAAAAGCCAGGAGTTTACAGCACGCTACTTTTGACTGAAACACAGCAACTGGTATTTCATCCTTAGAAGTACTTTAATTCAGCAATGTCCATTTGAGTTGGAGTAAATTGGTAAAAATATTATAAGAAAAAGATGAAAAAGCCAACAGCAAAACCCACCCTACAGCCCCGTGCCTGTACAAGAGCTGTGATAGCTTCTTCAAGCTCAAAACTGGCATTAGCTGCTCCAGGTGTGTGTCAGGTTCAAGGACAAGGCTCAGAAGCAGCACGTGAGGGACAGGGGGTATTCAAGACAGGCCAACAGGTGGCTTGGCTCCATTTTTGCTCTGAAACACAGGGGGACTTCGTTGTCAGAAAGGCAGAGCTGGAACTGAAATACAGCTCCCTGTATTTCTGCAACCCCCCTCAGCCTGAATTCCCTCACAGCTTAAAGGAATAATAAGGGGGGGAGAAGGTTTCTGAAAATTTTACCTCTGAGTTACGGAAAGAAAAGAGTTAGAACACACACAAAGATGTGTTCCCCAGCAGTAAAAGGCCTCGGGCTATTTTCTCCGGCAGGAAACGCTCCTGTAGAGCACAGGAGTGATAAATAATCGCTGGGATCATCTAGTCTTCATTTTCTGTGAGTCACTGCTCTTGATTAACTTGATTAGCACAACATCACTGCAAGAGCCTAGGCAGCAACGTGCAAACTCTTTTCCCTCCACCTCCACCCTGGGAAACACTCACTTTTCCAGAAGCTCAGAGATGACAAAGAACGATTAGGAAAGGCACCGCAGTAAGACAATGGATCCAGGAAGGACGTTTCCCAAGAGAGCTATGTAAGTTCTGGAATGTAATTAAGTGTTGTCGAGAAGTGAGGTTTTCCTTTTTCTGGATTCAATTTCTCCCCTACCGTGGACCTCCGCAGAACAGCGGTGCCTACAGATTTAGAGCTCTGAAGCACTGCCTCGAACCAAGTGGCAATTAGTGCCTAAGCACTTAAAAACACTGCAGATGAGAAAAATCTGCGCTTTAGGGCTCTTAGTTGCCTTCTCAGTGGTCAGGGGAACGTTTCAGTCATTTATCTACAGGGAAAATACAGAAGAGAATCACGCAGCCTCTCAGCCACTCTCAGCTCTCCCACTCAGGACAGGTTTGCTGATTTGGGGCTGTGATCACATGGATGCTGCAGACGTCAGCCACAGCTGGCAGCTCCCTGTTAGAAGAGAAGACTGAAACCTCCCAGGGAAATACAAAGGTGGTTCAGCAGCACATGGTGCAGCTTCATCTCTAGAGATTCGCATTCCTTGTCTTCAAGGTGAAAGTGGCTGGGAGAGGAGTACAGAGGTGAGGATATTTGTGTTTTAATCTTCCCACCCAAAATGCACTGTCAGAACGTGTAACAGTCCAGCTTCCAGCAAGGCTTCTCCAAAAGCCCAGAGCTGGATGCCATTTGCACTTGCCTGTTTCAAGCACTGACTTCAAAGGCTGACGCACTGTGCAGCTCGCACCCACCGCACGGCAGAGCTCAGCCTTCAAAGTCTGAGAAAAGTTTTACAGCTGCGCTTGAAAAGCCAGAGACAGACAAGGCTTCTTTTTTTCCCATTAATGGATGTTGCAATCTCCTTCCTTCCCCACCCAAATACTCACTCGGCTGCTATGTCTAGTGAGGGAGAGAATGACAGGAAAAGAGCTGTTGTGAGGTAGGTCCTCGCTCCAGCTGAGCAGGACTCCGGGCAGCTTTTGTTGTGGGTGAGCTCACGGCGAGGACCAGACTTCCGCAGGCAGAGAAAGGGCTTTTTGTTTAAGGGCTTCGTGGTGGCAGCAGACCCAGCAGCCCTGCAGTAACTGCATCACACTCCTCGTTTAAAAGAGCTGCTCCCACGTGTGCTTTGCTTATTTGGCTGGACAAAATGGTATGTGAATTGAAGCAGAGGCTTCCAGAAGCCCAGAAAACTTCCAGAAGCTCTGTGCTAGCAGACTGAGTGCTTCTCCATGCCCGGTTGGATTTGTATGGCCAGAGCTCTGCCAAGGTTACCACCCCTCACTGCTCCTGCTGAACTGAGCAGCTTCCTTTTTTCCAGGGAGGATCTGAGGATTTATAAAGCCACCCCTTTATAAATACACCTGGGGTGAATGGCATAGCAGGGTCTGAGAGGACAACCTCAGCTCAGTTAGCTCTTCAGTCTCCTTCCTCGTTTCCTTTCCAGATAAGCAATGTCACACCTCAAAGACGTGCTCTAGGGGACCCTGCCGGGCAGGGGTTGGGCTAGGAGCGGTGTGTTACAGGGCTCCCACTCGTACTGCTTGTAGCAGAGCTCCCAGAAAGATGCGAGGAATCTTGTTGTGGTTAAGCGGTGCCAGTTATAGCTAAGGTTACCAAGCCTATTTCAAATACTTGAAATATGTAGAAAATGAACTCATCTGAGCAGTTCCTGTTCATACTGGGATGGTGTCCCAGCATCATTTCTCCTTGAAGAATCTGGGTTTTTAGCAGCCCAAGCGGAATCTCTGCAGTTACTCAAGCTACTCCCTTCTTTCCACCAACTCTCCTCATAAACACACCTCCCAAGCCAAGCCTACACACACACACAACACTGCCCACCTTAAAAGCCACTGGCAAAAGACAGCTTCCATTTGAAACCTGAAAACTGTGCCTGAGCTGGGATTAAAAGAACTTCTTGACCAGAAGAAGTTTAGGATGCAAACAGCTGCAATAACTAAGTCTGCTCAGCTGCCATTAATATTTTAGAGTCCTGGGCAGCCAAAAGTTTCCTCCTCATGCCAAACAAGAAAGGCTGTGAAGGAGGATGGCTTTTTTCTTTTGTTTCATAGGAAAGATCGCTTTCATGCCTACCCATTACAGCCACTGAATATCAAGGGGCCACAGAAAGCTTCACAACACCGATTCAGCTGCTCCTACCAAGCACGTGCAGTACAAGGTGCTGTCTCTGCCACACTGGGTTTTGTTTAGGAAGAGGCAGTTCAGCCCCGATGCTCCTTTGGGGGAGGAAGAGTCAGGAGATCCTGAAGCAGCCTGATGGTCACACTCAATTAATCTGGAGTCCATCCATCACTGAGCCCAGCAGCCTAACACTAGCACAGCTTTAACAGAAAAAGGAGGGGGAAAATCCCAAGCCATCTGCAATGGTTAAAACATTAATAATTAATTATTCTGGGAACTGCTAGGGAACTGAGCAGCATTACCCGTGTCAGAGAGCTACATTTCAACCAGCAAAATCCCACAGAGGTGGGTTCAACTGACTCATCTGTCACTTCACAGTGCCACAGAATGAATGGGCACAGCTCCAAGGGAGAGAGAGAAGTGACTGGGTGCTTCTTAGACAACACAAAGGGAACAAGCTATTGTAATATGTGGGAAGAGACCCATGTAGCACCACTGGAGCCCCAGCCTGCTGGTAACACGGCAGACAGGTCTACTAGTAAAAAGAAATGGGGGAAATAAGACAGTGCTGCATGTAGGAACGGCGTCAGAACAGGTACAAAAGCTTCAGTGCAGAAGAAAAAGGAAATTACTTCTGGTGTATTTATAGAAAGGGGAAGCAGGAGTTGTACAGCTCCACTGTTTAGGCTGGAAGTGAGTGAATTAAGATAAGAACAAGAAATGCCATTCAGGATCAGACCAGAAAGTTCATTTAGCTCGGTAGCCTGCCCAGAACCACCCCTGTTGATGCCCAGGGCAGAGGAAGGGGGTGAGGAAAATAGCACTGGGGTGCGCTGGACGGACTGATCATTTTCCTCCCTACATCCTCCCAGCTTCCAGCAATACACAGCTCGAGGAGTTCCCATCTACATGATTAACAGACCATAATAAGCCTTTCTAGCCCGAATTCATCTTATTGTTTAAGCTCGTTTAAACAAGCGACATTCACAGCATTCTGGGGCAGTGAGTTCCATACTTTAATTGGGTGCTGTGTCAAAAAGCACTTCCTTTACAAGCCGCCAGCTGCTTATTTTGATAATACCATCCCATTTGGTGAAGGGCTGTAATACTGCATGTGCTTTTCTGCACTTTGTTAACGTAATTGTACCCATGTGCTCCATGGTTAGCAAGGCGTGTAATCGGTTGTAGGTGGGGAAACAACCGATCCAGAAGCGTTACAGAAATAAACTAGATGAACTAAAATCATGAACTAGCACGATAAAGGTTGAACTGGGTGATCTGAGGGGTCTTTTTTCCAAGCTAACTGATTCTGTGATTACTGACTACGTTAGACTCAACCCACTTTTAGAAAAGCAATGACATATCTACTTCAACTTTGAAGATCTCTCTCTGGTTATCAAACACAGATTGATCAGCTTATAATTTCCTCTTCCCTTTAATTTGTTTTAGAAAACCATTCAAAAAGTTTGGAGGAACTTTCAGGCCAAAGCCACTAACTGTTTTCACAGCAATCAAATCATTTCACACCCATCTAATTTCTCCTGAGAGAGCCACTGACTTGGCCAAGGGATATATGCACAAGATGTGATACACACCAATTCGAAGTCCCAGAAAAGTACAGCAATAGATGAATAAGGAATCCTAGATGAATGAGGAAACCTAGATCAAATTAGTGGAAGGTGCCTCTGTAACTGGGGTTGGGGAGGGAATTATGTTTGAGAAGTCTTGTTTCATTAAGAAGTCTTGTTCCTCGCTACAAGAAGGACATCGAGGTGCTTGAGCGGGTCCAGAGAAGGGCGACGAAGCTGGTGAGGGGCCTGGAGAACAAGTCCTACGAGGAGCGGCTGAAGGAGCTGGGCTTGTTCAGCCTGGAGAAAAGGAGGCTCAGGGGCGACCTTATTGCTCTCTACAGGTACCTCAAAGG